TGTGTGTGTGTGTGTGTGTGTGTGTGTGTGTGTGTGTGTGTGTGTGTGTGTGTGTGTGTGTTTGGTGTGAGAGCCTTTTCAAACTGTCTTTTCACATTGAGGAAACAATATGAAAATGTTAAGGTATGAAACTCGTTGGCTTTTTCATTTGCCATGCAATAGAAAAAAAGGTTGGGTTCTTTAAAAAATATTATTACAGTATACTTTTGTTTCTATAAGGGGAGGGGATAAGCATACGTTTGACGTTTGGATTCGCTGAAGAAGTGAAGAAAGATAATATACTCGAACTAAGTGAGAGATACCCTTAGAACAAACCGACCCACGCACATTAAGGAGGACACTCATGTCATTTGTACCTTACATATTATTGCGTCTGCCCAGCCTCGCCTCTTCTAACAAAACCACGCACTTACTCGCAAGGCAAAAAACTCAGCCACTAGGCCAGCTCTTGCAATATTTATAAGAGAACTGTAGACAATGAACAAGTAGTCCTGAGTAGGGCTGGGCAATGAGTCGCTTTAGCAAAATCCGAATAATATGTTAGTGCACCTCTTAGGCAAATAATAATATGATATGAACCGCTTCGGCAAATGGGTTAGAACCACTTCGACAAACGGATGAGCACTACTTCAACAAATGGGTGCACCCACTTCGGCAAACGGGCCAGGAAAGAGAGTTAAGAGTCCGAATTCGGATAATGTTTCATTGAGAATTATCCGGTTATCCTTGTAGATTATCCGGATTTTGCCCACCTCTAGTCCTGAGGAATTTTCCGGTGAGCTTTCTCCCCAGCCTGGTCACCGAGGTCACATGACCGCAGCCTAGGCAAAAGTTGTGAATATTTAATGAGACTCTAGATGGCGCTTCCCCGGTCGGTAAGGGAAATCGATGAGCTCCCTGTTGTGGTGGTACTGGTGGCTCGGGGGTACATTTTGTCGCTGCCCTCGCGTCACCACCGCCGCCACCACTGTTGACAATGACAAGTTATTTCCTTTCACAGTCTGCCTATTTCGTTTTGAGGGCTTTAAAAAAAAAAGGATTTTTCCCTTTCATCTTTGGGTTTTTTTTTTGTTTTTGTTTTTTTAACAGGTCTATACTATTATGATCTTCCGCAAGGAGTGTTGATAGGTACCACATGCACAATAGCAGTTATCTATGTGCTGCACTAACTTAAATATTTTTGCGTGTGTCGTTTTGATAAATATTTTGTAATCTTCATCTGCGAATATTTAAAGTCAATGTATAGTTGAATAGCGATTCCTCAAACAGAAGTTTTACGTCACTAAATACGAGTTAAGTCTCTAGGTCACCCGGTCACTAAACCTGAAAATACTTCTAGGGTTGATCTGAATTGTAAAAACGGTCAATAAATTGAAAGTTGCCATTTTCATATTACAGACAACAGTGAGTCATAACTTTACAATCTCTAGAAAACAAGAGTATTCCTGCAAACACTCATAGACTCCCTGGGCCGCTCACAAATATGTCGGACACAAGCACCAAGAACACCAAATCGTGCACACTCACCAAACCTTCGACTCGCTCTTTTCTCACAAGCTGTGCTCTTCATCTCACTGGAGGCCGTTTGAGAGCCTGCAGGGAACAGGTCTGAGATTTCTCCCAGGTGCCAGTAATTTACGACAATTCAACTCGCCTTGATTGTTTGTCCTCGGGTTGTCTGCCTTAGCTACTTTGGTTATCTCCATCTTCTCTTTTCTCGGACCGGTCTTCATTGTTTCTTTATTTCCCTCACGCAGACGGAGCCCCTTTCAATTCACTGAAACGCGAGCGTATAATTTTGCAGAGCTTTATTTGCAATCAGCTCGAAAATAGTGACATTTGTTTTTATGATCAATAGGTTTGTTTTTACCGGTTCAAATCGACCAAGATACCGGTTCGGATCGACCAAGAATTCATATTCATACTCCCAAAATCAATTTTTTCCTGTGGTTCAGTGTTAGAAAAAAACTGTGATTGAAATTTGTTGAAAGACATCCGAAAGAGATGGAGAATTGTACAATCATGTTTGCAGTTCTCCTCTCTATTTCCTGGGGTTAATTAATTTAATTTGAAAACACCACCTTTCCCTTGAGATTGAACTTTACAGGCTTTATAAAAAGAAATATATACCCTTCTGGGCGTGAGAACAAAAATGTGTCACGACACGATGGAATCAGACACTCGGCAATTTTTGTGAAAGTGAAGTTATTGGTATAATATTAAAGCTTGATCACTTTTCTTGCTTTCGACGAAAACAAATACCCATCTATCTCGTATAGAAGTAAAGATATTTGCGATAGGAAGAAATGGGAGTCGCCTGGTTTCAGGGGTAAAATTAGCAAGAAAAAGGCCGCCAAAGTTTTGTGACTTACAAAGCTTGAGAGTTCTTGTAAACTGAAAACTTACATTTTTTTGTGTCTTTTAATCAACGTTTTTTTTAAAGCAAAAAACCCCCAAAGAGATGGGCTTTGAAGTGGACATAAAAAAATCTGAGTTAACACCCCCTCCCCCCTCGATCAAAATTGCCACTGTTGCGGAAAGTGTAGATTTCTTGGATTCCATTGCTTTGACGAGCGCCTGATTTCACCATGATGCCTCAAAAACACATTCGAAATTGTCTAAGACGTTCACCCATTTTCGAAGAGAAAAGTGGTTATCTTAACCAGGCGGACACCTTGGGCAGTGTCATTATGATATAATAAGAGGGGAAAACGCAAAATGGGAAGTACGAAGTGGCCGTTTGTAAAGGGGATTGTCTTGGACAGGTGGCCTGTTAGAGTAGGTTCAAATGTACTTTACACGTGGATATATAATGATAATATATGTAGTGGGATGGAATGTACTGGTAATTGCACATTCAGCGAGGTTTTTTAAAGCTTTTTTTCCCGTTTTTTATATACATGTATTTCATACAGACGGACCTGAAACGACTCCAGAGTAAATGGAAAATATTTTATGTGATGCCATGCAAAAGAAAAGCATAAACCATATACTGAACTAAGACAAAGCAAAAAGCAAAATTTGCACAGTGTGGATAAGATGGATTAATTAAGGTCAATCACTTTAATCTTAAAAGCGAAACCACAGGGTTTTGAGTACCAATCCGCTTCTTTTTTGGGGGGAGTTATGATCTTTGTTTATAAAAGAACTATTCACAACATTTGTCACATTGTCTCTAACGTTTAGAAATCGTTTCAATATATCTCAGTTCGAGACTATCTTTAAGTCACAAAAACGTCCCGGACAAAAACGTTGACTTACGTTATAATAGGAACCAAAACAGTACAGAAGAGGACGAGGAAAAACCTTGACCTAAAAAAAAAATCTGGGCGTAATAAAGGATTGCGGTTTTTTTTCACTCATTCTTTGAGTCTACACAGGATTAAAAGGCTCGAGGAGCGTCTTTTGTCTCTAAGAATGCTGCTGTTGAAGGAGAGAGAGAGAGGGGAGAGAGAGAGAGAGAGAGAGAGAGAGAGAGAGAGAAAGAGAGAGAGAGAGAGAAAGAGAGAGAGATAGCGAGGGGGGGGGAGAAAGACAGACAGACAGACAGACAGACAGACAGACAGACAGACAGACAGACAGACAGACAGACAGACCGAGAGACAGACAGATACAAAGAGAGAGAATGAAAGAAAAGAGAGAGAGACACACACACACACACACAGAGAGAGAGAGAGAGAGAGAGAGAGAGAGAGAGAGAGAGAGAGAGAGAGAGAGAGAGAGAGAGAGAGAGAGAGTCGATTTCGTCTTTACATTTTTTAGATTCCTCATTATTTTATTCTGTCACATATTTATCAGACTGATTCAGTTCGCATTCTTTTCTCTTCATTGTCTGTTAACGTGTGGTTTTTCCTTGCTCAATACTGTAAACATTTTCTTAGTGTAGCGTTTTTTCCAAGACTTGCACGTGCAACAGTTACAACTTTTTGGAGCAAAAAGATAGTTTTGCCCCTAACCACAAAAAAGCACAAAAGCCAAAACAAAACAAATACGAATACGAATACGAATGACTAATTTCATGGATTAACACGCAGACTCATTTGAATCATATGAACACTTTGTTTGGCTCTGTTGTCATCGTCGTCGTTGTCCTTGTTGTTGTTATTGTTGTTGTTGTCGTTGTTGTTATTGTTGTTATTGTTATCATTATTATTGCTATTAATATTATCAGTATTTATTATTATTTTTATTATTAATAATGCTGGTTGCACTAGCAGTGGTAGTGTTGTGGTAGTAGTATAGTAATCAAAATCGTTTTCATTATTATCATGATCGTTATTATATTTATCTTTCGAATATCATTTTTATTATCTTAATCCTTATAAGGTTTATCATTAGATTAATTGCTGCTTTATTGCTGGCAGGGACTGGTCAGCTCAAAAACCGTGTTTAGAAGAAAAAGAACGTTTCTAATTATAGTTGTGCCAAAGCGTTTACCAGCAAAACTATCCACCCTAGTACGTTAATAATAAAAGAAAAAGAAATATTTGTCGTTGTGGACATGTCTCCAAACCATCCACCTAGCAGCTGTTCACAACGCTGAATTATTGTTTGTATTCCCCAAAGAACGTCGAAAAATATGGGGTCCCGTCCCTGGTACGTCTCTACATATCTTTCATGCCCGATGACCCTTCCCCTAGTCTGGGCATTTGTTCGACAAGTTTAAAAACGACCACAACTTTCGCCGTAGCCAGTAATTACCAGGGGAGATTCCAGCGGGCGGTGTTTTCAATTCGCCATCTCCTCCCCTATAATTACAAGGCGCCATTTCCTGTCTTGTCTCGAATCGTTAAATTAGCTCCCGCCGATTCTGATGAAAGTCAACAGCTTAGGAAGATCGAATTAAGCGTTCGCGCGCTTGGAAACTCTACCCAACACTTTCAATAGCGGATATTATTTTAGAACCCCATTCCCTCCTCCCTCTCTTTGTATTGAAATATCACTTCCAATAGCTTGGTCCTTAACAGCATTGAAACGGATAATGCTGTCGTGTGAATAAAAAAACCCAAAAAACAAACAAACTAGAAACAAACAACAACAACAAAATCCAACTCGAAAGCAAACGTTAAAAAGCATCAAGCAAAATGTGAACAATTCAGACCATTCTTTTTTACATTCTAAAGCTCTTATCCAGTCGCATATTTTTAATGGAGAGAACTTGCGCGCACTCACAAACACACACGCACACGTACACACACACACACACACACACACACACACACACACACACACACACACACACACACACACACACACACACACACACGTACACATGTACACTCACGCACATACATGCACACACACGCACACATATGAACACATACACACACACAAACACACACACAAATGCACATACACTTCAAGCGTGGACACATGGGTTTATTGCACGCTGCACACAAGAGTTAGATTTTGAAACAGGAACGTTATATCTGATGATGTTTCCATGACAACCGAAAGGTAGGTTAGAGGAAAACTTAGAGACTCTTATCTTGCCTTGCTTTGTATTAACTTTCATTTAGAACAAAATTTGTCCTTAGATAATTACTATTAAAGCGACGTCGGCAGCCATACTGTTACTCAAAATGTCCAACTTTACCCCCCCCCCAACTACAATAACAACCACTACAACAACAACAACAACAACAACAACAACAACAACAACAACAACAAAAACAACATTAACAACAACAACATTAACAACAACAACAAGAACAACAACAACAGGCAGCTGTGGTTGTTGGGGTTTTTTTCTGAACAAAGACCACAAATGGTGACATATTATTAACTTTGTCTGTATTTCTTTGCCTCCACAGGGCAACTTTTTCTCCGGCCTGGATGACGGGTTCCTGGCGAGAGCTGAGGCCATGGGTGTCGTGGATATATCCAAGCCCTCCGGGGGCCATCAGCTGATGAAGCCAGAGGGTCTCTACGGCCACACGCCGGACTTCACCGGTCACAACGGAGGTCCTCCTCGTCACCAGATGCCCATGCCTCCTCACCACCCACACCCCCACCATCCCCACCCCCACCCACATCATGGCTTCGGTCCGTCAGATTCCATGTTTGATCAACTCACAGCCGTGTCCAGTCAAAGCGGAGGTCCGCCTGGCATGCCTCTGGGACCTGTCGCCTCTATGGCGGAACACCATAACAACGTGATGGGCGGAGCTTCTGCTATGCCAGGACACGCCCAGCACCACCAGATGTACCCGCCCATGTACTCGGGGCACCCGCCAAATGTTGTGAACCACCCACACCCAGCCCTGCCCCCTCACCCAGGCCCCATGCACCCCCACCAGGGAGGCATGCACGAGTCGGACTGCGATCCACGAGAGCTGGAGATGTTTGCCGAGCGCTTCAAGCAGCGACGCATCAAGCTGGGCGTGACACAAGCCGACGTGGGCGCCGCGCTAGCGAACCTCAAGATCCCCGGAGTCGGTTGCCTCAGTCAGAGCACCATCTGCCGGTTCGAGTCGCTCACACTCAGTCACAACAACATGATCGCGCTGAAGCCTATCCTTCAGACGTGGCTCGAGGACGCAGAGAAGCAGGCGCGAGAGAGGAAGGCAGAGCTAGAGAACGGACTTGGCGGAGACAAGAAGCGAAAGCGGACTTCAATCGCCGCGCCGGAGAAGAGGTCTCTGGAAGCGTACTTTGCTGTGCAGCCGAGACCATCAGGGGAAAAGATTGCCCAGATTGCAGAGAAACTCGATCTGAAGAAAAATGTCGTCAGGGTTTGGTTCTGTAACCAGAGGCAGAAACAGAAGAGGATGAAGTTTTCCGCCATTGCTGCAGGTATGGGGATGGGTCACCACTGACGACAAAACTTGACTGTCTCAAGAGAAGACTCTAAAAACTTGTACTGAGGCGAGAGTCATGACTCAAAATAACATTTTCTAGAACTGGTTGTGTGATAACAGTGTACATCTTGATGGAACATATGGGACAGATCTCGGTGGTTATGAGACGCTGTACTGTGGAAGCAAGGTCATCAATGACTCTCCGTGACTTCTCTCAGCTCGGCAAATTCAAGGACCACAGAGAACGATTTGCCTCATCGTGTGAGTGGAACCAACAAGGGCTTGCGTTCCCGCGATGTTCGACTATCGGGACAAAGGTGCAGCAACAGAATAACCATGCTGGCTCAGATTTTGATTAAGGTGCTTGCTGATTGTTGAACATGCACATCATTTAAAAATAGTTTTGTCAGTCGCTAATTACACTGAAACGTGATGAATTGTCACTGTTCGAGCATCTGGCTCTTAAATTTAATAATATGCCAACTCAGTTGTTCTAACACTTGGTGGTCTGTATCCCAGTGCTCCAATCACCATAGACTGATGGAGCTTGTGATAAGGGCTTGGATATCCGTGCGACTCAAGCAGTGTGTACGTACCAAGGATTAGTTGGGGTATCGAAGCGAGCTTTGTCACAAACCCGCGCTGTGCACCAGTCTTCAACAAGAATGTTATGCAACAAAACATTTGTCCTGGTGTGTTCGCAGTGACCGCAACCAGTCCTCTGTATATCCATGCATAAAGCTGGTCTTACTAATTTACCTGATCACGTAAGGGTTGTTGTTTTTTGTGTTTCTTGCACATGAATACCGGGCACAAACTACTTACTAGTTGTAATATTAATACGATGTTTGACCAATGTAAATAAACAAAAACAATTCGTTTGTCTGCAGGCTTGTATATTATGTAATGTAAAATAGCTATCTTTTGCATTGTTCTTTGTTACTTGTCCAGATAGCAGTGTAGATCTGGTTTTTGGTGCATCTAGCTGGCTGGTTTCTGTAGCACAAATGGTTGCTAACATGGTAAGCGCGTGAGAGTTTTGTGTTTGATTTCGAGTAGGTTGTGAATATTTCTCGCCCTTCCCTGAAACATATTCCTCTTTACATCCCGGTGTTCTGACCAGGGAATAAGTGTTTTGCCATCGTGGAACGACTTGCTTTATGTCTAGAAGGGCTTTAGGCTTAAATAAGAAGAGAAAACACAAAAACGTCTACCGTTTGGTTTAAAAGGCTTTGGTTTGTTGTGTGACTCTTGGACAAGCTCTAACAACCCCCCCCCCTCCCCGCCTTCCCTCTCCGCCCCCATGGAAGAAGTGATTTCCCCAGTCCAGTCTCACACACTATCAGGCACACACCCTTATATTACTTCGATCTTTTTGGTCGCCTGGTGGCACCAACAAGAACAAGGTTTTTAAAAGAAATAATAAATCAGATCCCTGCCTCCCTTCCCATCTCACTTGACATTTATAAACCCCCCCCCCCCCCCCCCCCCCTCTCTCTCTCTCTCTCTCTCTCTCTCTTTCCACGCCGCCCTCTGTTTTGAACTCTATTCCTATGATATTATCATTGTTTTACCGTGACTAGATCTAGTCCAAGTAAGGCCAAAATGGCTTAATTCAGGATATTTGTATGACTCCGCCATACTATTATGTTTTTAATAAAGTGCAATATGTTTTTACGTGCATTATTTTACTATGATTTTTTAACGTTATGCTCAGTTTACTTGAACTTCTACATTCACGATACTTTGTTATTATTTATTTCTTCCTACATTTCCAAAAGAACGTTACATATGTTTTTTCCTGTCTACAACAAGGAGTACATAATGCTACTTTTGTGGGGTTTTTGCTATATGTTGCTGATGGTGTCCCTGTTTTGTTGTTGTTGATGTTGTTGGTATTTTTGATGCTGTTGTTGTTGTTGTTGTTTTCGTTGTTGTTGTTGTGGTTGTTGATGTTGTTGTTGTTGATGTTGTTATTGTTGTTGTTGTTGAAGCTGTTGTCGTTATTGCTACTGCTGTTGCTGTTACTGGTTTTTTGTTGCTGTGGTCTTGGCTGTCTTTGACAAGGATGATGACGAGGATGACGAAGATATTGTTTTTGCTTCCATTGCTATTGCTGTTCTTTTCATCTTTGTAGCTACCATTACTGGCATTAATGGTATTCTTATTGCTGCTGTTGCTGGACGGATTTGTTAGAATTATAAACAGATATGTAAAGTCTTTTCTAAAACGAAACCCTTTTCTTTTTCGACTTAAGACAAAATAAAATGAGACCTCTCCTTAATCAGCCATTCTCTACAGTGGAAACTGTTTAGTATATAATAATATGTAGTGGTGATTAACCCTTAGCAGTAGTTTATTCTGTCGAGATTTGTAAACTGTGTAGAAACAAAGAAGGAACACTGCTCTTACAATGTTTACTTCTGTTTTTCTCTCATAAGAACTTTAGGTTGTTACAAAGTCAGCTAAGGGCAAAGAGTTCTCACAATGTGGCGAGATATTTATATTGTCGTAAAACCCTAAAGAGGTAGTTAAACCGCCTTCGGTTTCTCATGCTTCGAAGGGCGGCTTCCAAAGCTTGGCTCATGATAGTGTCATAATATAGACAATCTTGACCCTTTTAGTTTGGCTAACTGACCCTAGCATTATTTCAGGGTTGGTAGATAAAAAATACCTTTGCTCAGCATCTCAGGAACACGTGAAATGTGAAAGAAAAGAACCACAATTCCCTGAGAGGGTCGTACAGAGCCAATAGAGAGGATATGCTATGTCTGCCTGTCTGTCTGTTTGTCTGTCTGTCAACCTGTTTATCTGTGTGTCTGTGAGCCCTAATTTCTGTCTGCCTAAGGCCTGTTTGTGTAATTTGTTTTTATTGGATTTCAAGATTTGTTTTTGTTTTTGTTTTGTTTTTTGTCTTTTGGTATTTGAAACTGATTTATGGAAGCGTACTCACATGACACCAACACACAAGCAAACGTACATGCCTACACACAAACAAAACAAAAAAAATCCATACCCACGCGTGAATACAGACACCCGCACATACGCGCACGGGCGCGCGCGCGCACGCACGCACACGCACACACACACACACACA